ATGGTGAAGTTAGAAGCAGCAGCTAGGCCATATGGCATGGGGTAGGCTTCCAAGACTAAGATGCTCTAGATCAGTGTTTCTCAACCTTAGCCACTTTAAGATGTGTGGACTTCAACTCCCAGAATTCCCCAGCCAGCCATGCCGGCTGGAGAATTCTAAGAGTTGAAGTCCACACATCTTAAAGTGGCTAAGGTTGAGAAACACTGATCTAGAGCATCTTAGTCTTGGAAGCCTACCCCATGCCATATGGCCTAGCTGCTGCTTCTAACTTCACCATCAAGCCCTTCTAAAATCTTTTCTATGTATTAAGTTCTGAATTGTCTTCCCCAGCTGTGATTACTTCTTATTCATTGTAACATCGTTGTATTTTAGACTGAAAGATTTTTGGAATAGGGATAGCCATTAAATTATATTGGATGTCTTGAGTCATCATTTCCCCCTGTTTCAAACATTTAGGGCTGTGTCTACCAAATCTTATCAGCTACATGCAAATAGTGGACGTAGTTGAGCTGGTTAAATCTTTAATTTGGGTAAAAATCCCTAGGGGTGAAAAATGGAGAATGATTCTGATGCATGATAGATTGAAATACTGAACAGGCATATTCCATCCTCATTATTTTGCTATTGGACCTCATATACATTATTTTTAATAGGCTGTGTTCATCTCTGAAAGGAAGATGACTCTGAATATAAGACACAAGAGCACACCCCTGTGCTGCCAAAAGAGAAGATTATAATAAAAATCTTACTTGCCTTCAGTATCTTCTTCTCACCTAGTGTAATCTAAGATTACCATTCAATTTTAAATTATGTAAGGGAAAAAAACTCTAGTCTTCCTTTCCTTTATGTGATGGCAATATTAATAAATATCGGTATTTATATTAATAAATATTGGCATTCACTGGCATTTACAGCTTTTTAATTTTCCTCTTTCCCAACTTCTCTACATTTTTTTTCAAATCTGTTGGAAAATTTTCCATCTCCTACTGTGTAAATTTTTTTTTGCAACTTGCAGAGTAAGCAACATGTGGCCTTCCAGATGTTAAAATGCAAATTCCAGCATCACTCATTGTCAGCAATGCTAGCTGGGGGTTATGGGAATTGAATTACCTTGTTTAACCCTCCTGCGTTTATATTTCTATACCACTAGGTATCAATTCTCAGCTTTAGTACACATCACCATGAGGAGAAATCCTTATCCCAAATCAATTCCCTAAATAAATTACGTATTATAGTTACTGAGATCTGGATTTGATATGGAGTGCATAGCTGGAATGGAATCTCCCAAGCCAGTTGTTGGGGTAGAGAGACTGGTGGTGGTGGTGGTGGTGGAATTAAGGAAGGGATGGAGATCAGGGTTGCAATGGGCAGAGGGAAATAGGATGGGAGGCATGGGGTGGGCTACTCTTCTAGCCCTCTCTTTTCATTTCAGAAGCCAGGTTACCAGGTTTTCAAAGATCTTAACTTCTGGCTGCTGCTGCTTCAGATCAGATCTACTTATAATAAATCTCTCCTTCTGGATGAGAGGGTAGGACTGTCTGTATTACCATGACCTGAATGGATGAAGAGAGGGAACCACTTCTGAAATGTACTGATCTGGCTTTCAGACTTGTCATCAGCTTCAATTTCAGGGCAAAGGAGGTCAAGTGGCTGTCATTACTCAGTGGGCTTTGGTGGCAACAAGAGACAGTGTTTCACAGATAGCTGGTATGAGGAAATTGGGTACCAGGGACAAGTAGTGAGTGCTGCTGCTGTACTGTCCACCCTGCTGCATGGTAGCATTCCTTCCTGGGCCTCAGCTGTGGATGTCTCTGGAATTCCTCAGGTTTATGGTACTGGGTGACTTCAACATGTTTTCCCTGGTGAAGGGAGTTTTGAAGTGGTCTTTGATTTAATAGCCACTATGGCAACCATGGGCTTGTTTCAAGTCATCATGGCTCCAATCCAGGTTTGACGCCACACATTAGAACTGGTTTTTGTTTCAGAGCAGTGATCTGTTGTTTGCCATGAACAGATTGCTGCTATTGAACTGACTGATGCCACCAATCTCTGCAAGGAGGAAGGATCTGTTAGATTGGTGTACCTCAAATGATTTTCTTGAATTCCATAGGGCACTTCGGGAGTTCCCTGAAACCTTGATGGATAATTCTTCTGAGCCTTAGTTGCCAGCTGGAATACAAGGGTGACAATGGCTTTAGCCAGGATTGCAACTGAATGGCCTCTCCTAGTCTACAGATTTAAAGAAGTTCCTTCATTTATTGAGGAGCTCTGTGAAATGCCTGTAATGCTGCTAGTGTAAAGCAAAGACTGAGTCTTATCAGACCCAGATGTTTTAGCTTATACCATTAAAATAAGAGCAGCAAAAAGGCAATGTACCCCCACTGTTACATATTACATCTTCAGATTGTCATCAGCAAGACTGATCAAAATTTCCTGGATCCTCTTAGGGAAGGATAGGCTGGAAGAGATCTGATGAGACTTTATCACGCAAATCAATAATAAAATTGCTCAGATCTGCTTGGCATTAGACACCAGTTCTAGTTCTATTGATATGGGTTAGTTCTGTTAAGAGGCCTGAAGTTACATCTTGCATTGTTATCTGGGAAAAGTTTGAGTCTGTTGGTCCTGAAAAAGTCGACAGGGTTATTTCTGATTTATTATGTAGCTGCCCATCTCACAAATGTGACTCTAGGTGGCTTTTGAAAGCCACTTAATTTTCACTTGGGGAAGACTCAGTGAAACAACATTGTAGGATTCTGTTTGCATGATGTGCTCAAGTGAACCATGGTTTACTCAACTCAATTTTCTGAGCTTTCATGACACATTTAATAAAAAACTAACTATATGGGCTGAATCTCATAATAAACAACACTAAAATATTGGTTACTTTGTGTTTACTTCTTTGTAAACCCTACCACATCTTTTTAGTACTTGCTATAGGATATATAGACATCATATTATTTTTAATATTTTGCATTAATTATTTTACATGTAAAATAAAATTGGCCAGATTTTAAAGTATATCCTGAAAGCTAGTATGGACATAGAAGGGTAGAAGGATAGAGTTTTGTTCTTTTCTTTAAAAACAAGCAAATACAGTCATTTTATGTAATGACTAGATAGACTTAACTTCTCACAACATACTAGACATGAATGTAGTTGACTTATTTGTTATCAGGATATTGTGCAAACACCTAAGCATTGATTTAATTCAGTAATCCATGGTTAAGTTAAACATGGGCTAGTATGTTGCATGAATGCAGCCATAGGAAAATGAATTTGATTTAAAGAGTTTGGAAGGATCATAATCCCCCTCTCACCCCTTCTTTTGCCCTGAAATCATATCTGCTATTCATTCCAGTTCATTCTTTCTAGACATTTTCCTGCTTATTCAATGAGATGCAGATACATTGATCTCATTTAGCTATAAGGATGCCAGGAACAATCATAGAAAGATAGAATGCAAGGATTGGGAGTCATCTTGAAAGATCCTCTAGTCCAACCTCATGTCCAGTTCATGAATCCACAACAGCAGTATCCCTGGCAGATGTCCATCCAGCCTCAATATAAACACTTCCATTGAAGAAGTGTCCTCCATTTCCCACAGCTTTCTATTCCACTGTTTTACAGCTCTTACCATTAGGATTTTTTGGTGATATCCAACCAAATCTCCTTCCTTGTAATGTAAGTTGACTAGTCTTTTGTTCTGTTTTCTGGAACAACATTGAACAAATGTACCCATCCTCCATCTAACTGCTCTTCTGATACTTGAAAACAGCCGTCATTTCTCTCTGCAGACTTCTCCAAGGTAAGCATAGCCAATGCCTCAGCTGTAAGCTGACATACAATGATCAGTTAACCCAGTGTTTCTCAACCTTGGCAGCTCAAAAATGTGTGGACTTCAACTCCTAGAATTCCCCAACCAGCATGGCTGGCTGGGGAATTCTGGGAGTTGAAGTCCACACATCTTCAAGTTGCCAAGGTTGAGAAGCAGTGAGCTAACCTGTTCCAGAAGTGTGGCCTGGTTCAGGAATTCCATTAGGAAAGAATCCAGGTAGATGTTCTAAGGAAACAAAACCAAATGTACAAATTTTTATTTTAAAAAAAGTCACTTTTTATATGGAATCATGAATGTGTAAAATTGTTTTCCCAGTTTATTTTTGCATTTTTCCAAGTTAAAGCCTACAGCTGAAACATCCTAATGGAATGTTGTCTTGGCATTCCAGAATGCAGGATATGCCGATGAGCCCAATGGCTGTGGCTGTGTTCATGCCTGCTTGCTTGCAACTACGAGTGGAACATCAGGGCTTATTCGCTACAGAAAGCTAGCAGTGTTAGTTTTTTCACATAGCCCTGTTTTTGCAAAGCAATTCTACATTCTTTAAGTCCTATAGTTGAAGAGATTAACCTTATTGGAACTCTCTTCTGTATTCAAAAGCACATCTGACTGGAGGAGGTTATTTTAGCTCAAAACAACTGTGGGGCTGTTTTCAATAAAAAGGGACCTTTCTTTGATTACATTCTTTTGTGTTTGCATGCCATGTGAACAGAGCTATAAAATAACATAAAGGAAGTTTAATGGATAGGCATGGAGGACAAGGAGAAAAGGTAAGTATTGGCATAGGTTCAGCTTAAAGAAAAGCTTTGATTTTCCAAGCAAAGATTGTTGGTTTGCTTGATATTGGAAAAAAATAGGAAATTCACATAAAAGAGAAGCAGATATTTCACAAATTAAGGGGGAATCTTGGGAAGAATTATTAAAAAAAAAACTTATTTGGGAAATCACTGGTACTTCAGGTACTTCCAAGTATTTAGTTGATTCAAACTTCTTGCTTAACTGTGGTTTGTTTAACCATTTTAGTTGAATAAATGACCGCTAAGATCTTATTCATGCTAAGCTATATTGTTTTGATTTTGGCTTAGTTTATAATATAGACCCAATACTGTGTATTCTGCTTTAGCAAAGAGCAAATGCTACACCAGAAAATACAGGAAGCTTGCTTTAAAAAAAATTGACCCCCCCCCCCCCCCAAGAAAGAGCTTTTAAGCAATTTGAGCTAACTGGAGGGAATAAATCTCTAGGAATGATTTCTACCATGACTACATTGTGCAAAATGAATAGTTGGATGAATCCTCTGAAAGCAAAGGTGCATTCCAGTTAAAAAAGTACAGTGTATAGATCTTTGTTTGCAGAAAGAAAGCTATAAGGTGCCACATGCTGTTTATCCATTGCAAGCAGGGCCGTATTGCAGTGAGGCTGGTTAGAACAACTACCTAAGTATACAGGAGAGGCACATTAAAGCATTACTAGAAAAAAATTAAAAAGTTGCTGATGGAGATATCTTTTAAGGGTTGGGCAAATTCAGAAGCCCAAGGCAGAATCTCTGCTGATTTTGATATACAGAAGTTAAAAGGGCATAGCTTGCACTGAAGCTTTTAGAACACCATGCTTGCTTAAGAATAGCCTATTTTTATCTTTTGCATCCCTAAAGTTTGGAAAGCTTTGGAGTATTAAGGATATGTACTTAAAATCTTGCAAGGATTAAACCCTTCAATAAAGTAAGCATTCCCTCACTAAGAAGAGGGCACCATGCCCTCCCAAACAAGCTATGAGCTTTTATTTTGTTGATATAAAAACCTTAATATAGAACTTTTCCCCTCCCAACATGTCCACTGATGGATGGTGTTGGAGAAGGTATTTGCAGCAGAATATCAGTGGACAGGAGGATGCTAAATTGCTTAATTTTTCTCTGATTTCTCTTCATTGCAGTTTATACCTATCATACAGGAACTGTAAAAGCAGCATTTATTTGCGCCACATGAACTGTTCATTCCACCTATTTCAGATAGTTGAATGGTTCCAACATGGTGACATAGGTGTCACCTGAGTTGCCCACCCCAAAATTCAGCCCTGCACACTGATATATTCACAAGGCTAAGTCAGCCCATATTGACAAACTCAAAAAAGTTTCTTAGCTTCTAACATGTAATGAGAATTTGTCTCAATGTGCCTTGACCAAAGCCTGCTTACTCAACTGCGCTCTTTCAATGATTTAATCTGTACATCAGCTTCTGCAAATTAGAAAATGTATATAGAATAGGCCTGCACAACTCAGTAAGGGGAAAGGACCATATTAATAAATTAAAAATCCTCATAGGCCTCAAAGAAATACCTGGAGTGCCAACCACAGCTAGCAGAGTAGTGGAAGCACTGGAGCTGGCAAGGCTTGGAGGTGCTCAGCAGCATGTCTTCTGGAGTGGCAGCAGTGGCAGCTGTAAATTTACTTCTTTTTAAAAAACATTGGTGAGCTGCATGTATGTAATGCGGCTCTTCTTCCCAAAGAATCTTACATGCAGCCATCCACCACCAAAATTGTGCATCTGGGATGTCAAGTAATGAACCAGCCTCAATTTTTCTAATTGGTATTTGCAAAATGGAACCCTTTCCTAACTGTTGGACTACAATTCACATTAATCTTCCTAACCCTGGCTACTGATTAGTGGAGGTCCAGTATATCAGGTAAGGTTGCTGTAAATAGCATCAGTTGTATTGGTAAACTGTGATATTTCACACTTATATATTCTGAAATGTGTGTATTTTAATTGCATTTTTAATGATTTTGCTGTATTTGAGACTTATCTGAACTTAGAAGAAATTACTTCTCACTAGAGAATCTTAGGAGTTGCAGTTCCAACACTTTGGGAGGGCATCAGGTGGGAGAAGGTTGATTTGTTGTTCAATATTTGATTTTAAGAATTAACACTGTGGTGGTGATTAATGAAAGATGTTCTCGCCTTACAGTCCATAGAATTGTAGCCTTTCCAATGATAGAAAACATGTATTGTCTTTTTTCTGTCAATCTGGGATTTGTTTCAACTATTCTTCATTGTGTATATGGAACTATAAATATAGAACAATAGAATAAGCCTAGAAAACCACCTGTCTGCATGCAAGATAGTTACAGCAGACAATTTAAAATTACTGAATAATGATTGCTTTGTTTTATATCTCCCTGCAGGAATTGTTTCGCTTATGACTCTCACTGTCTTGGCCTATGAACGGTACATTAGAGTAGTGCATGCGAGAGTGGTTGATTTCTCGTGGTCTTGGAGGGCAATCACATATATCTGGCTTTATTCCTTAGCCTGGACAGGAGCACCTCTTCTCGGCTGGAACCACTACACACTAGAACTCCATGGATTAGGTTGTTCAGTGGACTGGAGTTCAAGAGAACCTGGTGACACTTCCTTTGTCTTCTTTTTCTTTCTTGGTTGTCTAGTGGCACCACTTGGAATTGTGGTCTACTGCTATGGACATATTCTTCACGCAGTACGGATGGTGAGTTGGTTGAACCAATAGCTCGCCCTTAGACTTTTTCAATAAGCAAATACAACTTTGATGACTAAATAGCGATTAGAATATGAAAAAGTGCTTCTTATTGTGTGCCTGCTATAATTAATTATATACAAGTTTTCATAACTTGGCCTTAGACTGTGTGCACCCTAACATTTTGGCTGATATTAAACATGACTGCTGAATTTGATCTGCTGATACCCCCATAATATATTTTGGGGGGAAGAGTTCTATTAAGTTCCTTTCTGAAAGGGAAATGGAACAAGTAATTGAGCAAATACTAATACTTTATTAAACCTGTGTGCCACCTGACTCTCAATGACTCTGAGGACCAAGGACTAGAGTACTGATCCTAATACAGTCTTATCCAATGTGCTGCTATAATTACCAGCAGGGTGGCCAAAGGCCATGTTGGTTGGAAAATTATAGTACAATTCTGGGAAGATGCCAGATGGGAAAAACCTGGCTAAAAAGTAATTCTAGCATGTTCAGTAAGAAATGAGAAATAACGTTCCCAAGAAAGACATAAAGATCAAAGCATATAATTCAGTAGAAATGCATTTGCAGTATGGCTGTAATACTAAATATGTATATTCAGAAACAATTCAATCCTCCTGATGCACATTAAACATATTTAAGAGTGTCTTATTTAACAGTGCAATGTGATTATTGTTTAGCACGATACATGAATCCAATCACTGCAGTCCACTGCTATCTTATTAAAGGAAAAGGAATTTCAAGTGATTTTTATCCAGTCCTTCATTCCAGCACCCAGTCCAGTGTTTTCTTCAAGTTCAAGTAAATTCCTGGCTGGAGAGGAATTGCTGATTGGAAAACAACGTAGACCTGTTTTACCATTCTAAGTGATGATTATCACACTGTGGTACCATGTGCCAAGCAAACCTCCATTGCACATTGTGGCAGAAAGACACTGCCTTAATTCTTGCAAGAGAGAGGAAATTCTATGATTAGAATTCTATATTAAATATTTTAATCTTTTTCTTTTCATTTCCAGTTTCGTCGTGTGGAAGAACTGCAAACTGTCCATGTTATCAAAATCTTAAGATATGAGAAGAAGGTGGCTAAAATGTGTTTTTTAATGATAACCACATTTCTTATTTGCTGGATGCCTTATGCTGTGGTTTCACTTTTAATAGCCTATGGTTATGGTCACCTTATAACTCCAACAGTGGCTATTATCCCATCTTTCTTTGCCAAATCAAACACTGCCTACAATCCAGTTATCTTTATTTTCATGAGTAGAAAGGTAAGTTACTTAAAGAAACCTAAATGTTAATACACATTGCAAAAATCACATTCAACTCATTTTTCTCAACTTGAACAGAGTAAGATAAAACTAACACTTCATTTCACAAGTGCATGTTCTGCTCTGGTGGTAGAAATAGATAAACAAAATGATTAGCTTTTCTTCTGATACAAAGCCAAGTGACTTTTTATGGAAAAAGGGGAGTAACAAGGCAAGATTCCTAGCAGGCAGTCTCCCCCAGCCCCAATCTAGTATTGTAGGCTTGAATCTGACTTGCTCGACCTTCCCCATCTATTGCTATCCTGCTATAACTCCCAAGGCATAGGTCAGTAGACATGCTGATGGGGATGATCCAAATTGTAGTCTATCATATCTTAAGTAGAACCTGGGCTAGTGGAAACTCCAAGTTGCTAATCTTCAGTCCAGGGCACTGATCTCTAAAAATGAGGAAGAAATGGCACAATATTCCTGGAATTCAGAATGACTTCACAGCTATCTGAGTTACTTTGGTTTCTGTTATCAGATACATTTTTGTCAAAGTTCCATTTAATTGTTGTGCACCGCCCAGAGTCATTTATGTGAGATGGGTGGTTATATAAATACAAATAATAATAATAACAACAACAACAACAACTAAAGGCTTATAACTCCCTATTGGCAATTCTAGAGGGGAAATCTTAATTCATTTTGGCTGTGAAATTCATGGTAGATTCCAAAAAAGGAAACAGCCAGAATGGTTGGTTATGCAAGCAGTGGCTCTTTCCAATCTGTGGTTTAGCAGTGGGACATAGGCTAGCTTTTAACAATGCAGTGCTGGTCTAGCAAGCTTAGCAATTCTTTAAGATATTTTTTTTTCCATGTCCCCATCTCCAGGTAAAAGCAAAAACAAGCCCTGGAGGCACAAATATCACTTTCTTGTTTGCAACAATAATTTTTTTGGCTGGCCTAAGGATTTCAAAGGCTATAGACTCAGTGTGTTCAGATTCCCATATCTCATGGTCTGTGTCATACCCAAGGAAATCCCTCATGATGACCTTCTAGAAGCTGCCAAGGCCAATCAAAGGGGTCTCAGAATAGGGCACGCAGGGCAGCCATTTTAGAAATGTAGGAAGCTGTTTTACACCAAGTCGAATGATTGTTCTACCTAGCTAAAGCAGCCTTAATATTTAACTGGAGTCTTTCCCAGCCCTCTCTGGAAATACCAAGGTTTGAGCTTTTTTTTTCTTTTGTCGTTTTCATTGTGCTGATGAAATTTTATGAAGCAAATCAGCCTCTGTTGTTATCTCAACCACTTGTAGAATTGGGTAAACGTTACAAAATGTCTGAGGGAGACATCCATCAGCTAGAAAGACAGCCATTATAAAATTATCCCAAGATGGTACAAGTAAAGCTTGTCATACATACAGCTGTCTAGTTTTTAAAATTGCTAATAGCCAAGTGATGCTAATAGAAGTTTGACTGATCAGACGTCATCTGATTGTGTATCAAGCATATTTTTGTCCTTTACCAAACCCCATGATTGATTTTATGTCGTCATTATGTCATCCTGTTTCTGGAATATATTACATGTTTTCAGTGCAATTTTCTTACCTTGCAGTTTCGACAATGCCTTATGCAGCTTATCTGTGTTCGCCTCTTGAGGTTCCAGAGGATCTTGAAAGAAAAAACAGCAGTAAGGAATGAAAAGCCAGTAAGACCTATTGTTGTGTCACATAAGGGAAGGGACAGGCCCAAGAAGAAAGTGACTTTCAGCTCTTCCTCAGTCATTTTCATTATCACCACTGATGAAACACAAGAAATAGATGACAGTTCCAAAGACACAGGGACCAAAATAAATGTGATCCAAGTGAAGCCCTTATAACACACTGCCCAGAAATTGTTCTGATATAAGTGGGCTTCTGCTAACAAAACTTTGGATGGCACAATTAGCAAGAATGGCACTATCTTTATGATATGAAATACAGCATTTTTTCCAGGTGCATTCCTATACTAATTTGCCAAGGAGTGAGCCCTACAAAGCTTAATGCAGTATTCTTCTGTGTAATTGTACTGAATTGTACTATCAGTGACTCAAAGTTATGTTGTAACCACCTGAGATTGTGACATATGCCTGAAAGATGGATTTCTAAACATATTTTCTTTATCATCTCTCGATTACCTTCAACTCGCTGTAGGAAATACACCATTGTGACGTTTGTAGGCCAGTTTATGACTCATATAGAAGCAGCAACAGGCACAAAGGTAGAGGAAACCAGTTGCCATAAAAAATGCCTCATGGTATACATGCTTTCCACTGTTAAAAACTCATCTATCAGCATGAGATACGAAATGTGAAGTACTTGAGGAACAGTGTTTTCTTAATTACAGCTGTGCTTGAGAAATGGTGATGCCGAATGTATTCAGACTGTAGCACTGTATTCCTAAATGTCCACAGCCATTTGTTATAAAAAATAGATGGTGCTGTAGATAGATCAGCCTTTTCCAACTTCAGAAGCAGCAGCCATTTTCAGCCGTCACAAGGCCTCCATGGTCACATGAGCAACATTTGGTACCCCGGAAGTGATAGGTGCTTATGACCTTCACTCTCCCACAGTCATATGAGGGAGCGACATCCAGAGACTGTGCAGCCAGTGCGTGTTTTCATCCCACAGTTTTACTTGTGTGAAGGACCAGTGGAGTGAAGTATTGGTGTGTGCATAGTGCTATACTGTATTAACCTCTGCAAAGTACTTCTAAATACTGTACAAAGGTAAGCATTTTATTTTATTTTTATTTAACTTTTTGAGACTTTTGAGAGTGATCTAGATTACTGTACAATATCTAAAACACATGCATTTGGCTGAATGCCCTTATATGCAGTAATAGTGTATTCAGTGATATCTGCCTTCAGTATGAGTTTGCACATGTTCAGGAAGTTTCTATATTTAAGTTAAGTTGCAGGTGAGATATTCAACTTTATATCTATAGTACATTACTGTATGAAGACAGGATATGTTAGAGTAATATTTTTTTTCAAGTTTGATTATTGTAATACTGTACAGTACTGCATTATTGTACAGTGTTACATTACTGCAATACTGTATAGTGCTGTAAAAAATCCTGTTTTTCTCAAACAGCTGAATCCAGAAAAAATTAATCTGCTTCCTAATGCTTGAGTAGGGATTCCTTCCTGCCTTCCTTCTCCTTGCTCATCTCAATGATTTCTGTGTGAGAGAAGAAATGACTGGGTCATGCAGATGGCAGAGACCCAACCTGAGAATAAAATGCTGGTGAAGCAATAGGTATTGTCTATCTATTCTCTAATCTCCTGATGTTCAAATTTGCAAACTATTTTTATGAGTTTTTATCCCTTTTTATCCCTTCCTGGTTTTTCCTCAAAAATGGGCTGTATGTAGAGTCTGGCCTTCACTCTCTCCAATTGTCAAGAATCAGATTCAGTCTTGCACATGCTGTACACTAAGGGGAAACAAATGGCCAAGAGCAGCAGGGTGGGGGGCCAGTTAAGAACAAAGATGGAATTTATAAACAAATATTTAATATACTAAATAAATGAATTTAAAATACATTGCTGCTAGCGGTGACTATTCACATGCTTTTGTCCAGGGGAAAAATTTTTTAGCATACAAGGAAAACACATTCTTGCACTACAGTACTCCATTTCAGCTGAAGAAGGAAGCAAGAAGCAAAGAAAAACCATCAATCTTGAGTTGAAGATGAAGATGATCAAAGCGCATGATGAGGGGAAGAAGGTGAGTATTATAGAGCAAGAAGCAGTTTTGGAACAGACACAATTATAATAAGACACCGAACAGGGCTCATCCACGAAACAGAAAAACTGCTTATACTTTGGACTGAAGATCGGATACAAAAGAGGATTCCAATTAGCCTTCTTTTCATTCAGGCTAAGGCACATAGCGTTTTCACGGCACTGAAGGAAAGAGCAGGTGAGGAGTGCACTGAAACGTTCCCTGCCAGCCATGGCTGGTTTATGTGGTTTCAGCGAAGATTTTGTTACCACAACATAAACTCATTAGATGAAGCTGCAAGTGCTGAGGAAGCTGCCCAACTTTTCCTGGATGAACTTGATGAAATCATGACAGAAGGGAGCTATTTGCCTGAACAGATACTCAATGTGGAGGACACTGGGTTATTCTGGAACAAATGCCAGAGTAGACCTGTATACACAACGAGGCTAAAGCAATGCCCGGATGTAAGGCAATCAAAGACAGAATAACCTTTCTGTCTCTGGATTCAAGCTGAAGCCATTTCTGATCCACAAAACAGAGAACCCTGTGTGTTCAAAAACGTAAGCAAGCGCACACTGCCTGTTTATTACTGATCCAGTCAGAAGGCTTGGATGAAGCTAGTCCTCTTCATGGATTGGGTTATGGTTGTTTCATACCCCTAGTAAAGGAATATTGCTTGGAAAACAGAATTCCTTTTAAAATCACCCTGCTTCGTGACAATGCACCTGGACATCCCCCACATCTCAGCAATCTCCACCCAGATGTAAAGGTAGTTTATCTACCCCAAAACAACACCCCTCTCCTTCAGCCTAGGGACCAGGGAGCTATTGCAAGTTTCAAGGCCTACTATTTACGTGCAACATTTGCTAAAGCCATAGCTGCGATGAGGAATAAAAGAATAACATTGCGTGACTTTTGGAAAAGGCTACAATATCCTCCATTGCATCAAAAACACTGCAGCAGCATGGCAGGATGTCGCTGCAAAATGCATGCAAGGGATTTGGAAAAACTGTTTAAAGCATTTTGCTGTTCTTGTAAATTACTTTGAAGGATTTGACCATGACGATCTGCATGAAATAAATCAGGACATTTTGACACCCTTGGATTAGAGGTTGATGCTGAGGATGTGAAACATTTGATAACCTACACTGAGGGAGAGCTTTCAAACAAAGATTCAATAGAACTGCAAGAAGAATTGGAAGGATGAGGGGTTGTGGGGGAAGGAGGAGGAGGAGGAGAGGAAAAGAAAGGAGGAGGAGGAGGAAGAAGAAGATGATGATTTTGAAGGAGGAGGAGAAAATGTAGAAGTTCAGCCCAAAAAGTTCACTGTGAAAGGACTGCTGATTTTTTCTAGGGCATTAACAAATATTTTTCAAAATTAGAAATTCATGCAACATGGTAATCCAAATTCCTTAGCGATTATTGAGTAAACCATGATTAAGCACAGATTAGTATGGTATACGAACATGCAGCCAAAATATTCTGTCATAAAGTCTGTTTGCATCCCCTCTGCATGGTCACTTTTAGGGAAATCTAGGTCATGCAACAGCTAGTGGAGGTTATGGGTGTTGCTACTGATGATCTTACTTAGTTGGGTAACGAAACAAGCAGATAACCAAGCTCAGAGAGCACCAAGGACTCCACAGTTCAACCCTAAGGTACATATATTCTCTTATATTGGTGTTGCTACTGTCAAAATATTCCCAAGGGCAGCATTTATCCCATAGGACAAAATTAAAGGCTATCTTTGGAAGACTGCTTCCCTGCAGCACTGAAAACCAATTGTTCCATTTTAAGAAATGCTACATTTCTGGAAAAAAAATAATGGTATATGTCATGCTAACCCATCTTGAATGGCAAGTACCACAATGGGGTTTTGGCAGTGATGAAAGACTCTCAGTCTAGACAGGCTACTTTCTTTCATGGGAGAGGAGAAGTAAGATCAAAGGTGGGCAGTGGGGAGGCAATGCTATATAGGGAGACTGGTAGATTAGAGAAAGGGAAGGGACTGAATGTTCCTGTTCCTTTATTTCCTGCTGCTTGTGGAGAACAGGGACCAATGCATAGCACTATCTGAATGTCATTAACCGAGCCTTCTCTATTTTGATTGTATAGAAAATATCCCTCTGCAGATGGCAGCAACTGGCTGGCCATGTCTGAGTTTGGAAGCTAACCAGGGAGCCTATAAGAAAATCTCAAGGATGTAGAATAAACTGGGAAGTTGAAGAACATCCTGGAAGAAGCCAGTGGAAACCACTTTTGTATTGTTACCAAGAAAACTGCATGGATGTATCCCTGAAGTTAGCAGGAGTCAACTTCAACTCAAGGGAGACATTGTAGGACCATATAGTCCTTATAGAAAGACACACACATTGGAGTGTGTATTCATATATAATTCACTCATTTCTGCTGGACCCAACATAGTTACCACTCATACAGACATTTTTTGTTAAGTTGCCAAGCATCTAGGTAACGTGTCCCATGCTGTTTTTTTCAAGAAAGCATTTTCCCCAAGAGAACAGACTAGGTTATTTTTAAAGAATAGCTTTGAATTAAACACTATATTATTAGAATTGGTCTATTAAAAAGATTTCTAGCCTGATTTTACAGATCAGTTCTTGCAACTCTTAGATAGCCACTTGCTATCTAAGGCCAGGCTCCTTCCATTTCCTTTCTCCAGATGTGTTAGAGCTAGGCTATGACAGCTGGGGATGACCAGGGTTGTAATCCAACAAACTGGAGAACCTGGAAGGATGGAGTAAATAGAGCTGAACTTTGTGCAAAGTAGACACATCAAATCAAAGTTGCTGCAAAACAAGTGTTGCTAATTTTCCAAGCTGCTATCGCTTCCTTAAAAAGAGGCATACTGCAGGCTCTAAAAGGAACATTGTTCAGGAAAATAGCTGAATTCACCTGGAGCGAAAATCTCACCTGTTAGTTTGGTTCCTCCTGAATTTGGCATAGAGGACAAACATTCTGTAAACTAATGGGCAGGTTAGCACAAATTATCCTTTCTGTAGAGTTAGCCTTTATAGGGACTAATGTGTCCATTAATATGACAAGCTTTTTATGAAATACCTGATACCTGAGGATGTATCCCTATTAAAACTCCCAG